AAAACGAATTATATCTCATGTTTAACCACTATAGAGACATTAGAGCCAGCGGCAAATTCCAGAAGATCTGCCCGAGGTTATGGCGCTCTCGGCGGGTTCATTAGCGCTGAACGGCCCCGGACACCCTGGAGCTCACGTCTCTGAAAACGTTGAAGCAAATTTTCAAATAGACGTTATCTTTATTAACAAACCGTAAATTTGAATTCTAAACAAGTACATTCTCGCCTAAAAACCTTTTAAAACTACATTCCGTGACACAAAAACAGTATTATTTATACATTTTAGTGGATTTGGGTGTCTGCCATGACACTCGGTGTGAGAAATACTGGAAGCGGAGTGATACAAGCGGTGAAAGGGCGTTCCTGTGGCGATACCAGTACAATATCTCATGGTTCTCAACCAATCAGATTTGAGAACCAAAACGAACTGTTGTATAAAATATATTATACTATTTTATAATACTAATTGTGTATAACAATATTATAGTGTAACAATAACATTCTGGGCTGCCAATGGAAAATGTAACAAATAACAAGCAACACGGGTGTCACTAAAAAATTTACAAAACATTTTAACTCCAAAATGACTGCAATGAACATGTTCCCATTCTTGAACTTATTACTTGTAATAAACCAAAGGAGCATTTTCAACAAAAAAACTAAGTAATAAAACATGAACATCTTCAGCTATCTGTGTGTGTGTGTGTTTGCCTTAGGCCATATAATATATAACATATTCAGGAGTACAAGTCAAATCAAAATCCCCCAGGAGATTACCAACACAGTTTTAGTGCAGAATTGGATGCAAGTATGGGATAGCAGGACCCTGACCTGAACTGGCTCTGCATCTAATCCTCATACTGTACATTCTCAGTATTCTTTTTTGTTTTACAGAAGTCCATTGTTGCACTTATAAGAGATGAGAGCATTTTTGATCCTAGGCTTGCTCGATGGGGCCTCATAAGAAGTCCTCCAGCACTAAAAACTCTTTCAACTGGTGCTGAAGATGCAGGGACAGACAGCACTTTAAGAGCA